ACAGGATCGAGAGGTGAGCGAACCCGGTACGTGTTCTCTCACCTCCCGATCTACTGAGCCGACCTGTGACAGTCTCATTGTCATAGGTCGGCTAGAACTATGAGGTGAGTGAAAAGCACTCACCTCATAGTTCTCCTTTAACAAAAATGTATCTTTGGCTGTAGATCCTCAAACCATCTCTGAATTGGTGCCGACACTGTCCCTACTTTTGGAGGGCGGCTTTTTTTGTTCCCCATGGTCCCTGTGTGTTGTAAAGTAGCCACTGCTCCAAGCCCACTCCTGCGATGGACTACAATGTCATGTTTAGTTTACTAATTTGTATTGAGATTGTAGTCCATCACAGGAGTAAGCTTGGAGCGGTGGCTACTTTAAACACACACAGGGACATTACTGTCCTTTTTCAGACTTACCTTGTGGGTCTCCTCGTCTCCCAGCTGAACATCTGAACTGCGCATGCGCCCCTTCGACACTCTTCAGATGTTTGGACGGGTGCACGCGGAGAAGACACAGGTAAGTTTAAACCTGTTTCCAAAAAAAAAAAGTTTTTGCATACATCTACTGCTTGCTAGCAGTAGATATATCCAAAGAAACGTGAGGCTTTAATAATGAATGCATTTTTAAGATTTAACGCATGAGTTTCTAGATAGGCAGAGCCAGCTGTCACTCACGCAGCTGGGCGGATCCTGTCATCTAAGTCAGGATCTGCTGCGGCATCTCAGCATACCGCGAGCTGTAGCTCGCGCTATACTGAGCTTAGGGTAACGGGAGGACGCTAGTTTGTGTCCTCCCGTTACCCTAAGGAGAACTATGGGGAAAAGCACTGACCCCATAGTTCTCCTTTAATATGCATAGCTGAATCGGAGCATGTATGCAATTAGTTGTTTTAAACATGACGAAAAAAAAAAAAAAAAAGTCTTCTGATCAGGAGGTTCAAAAACATACAACCACACACAAAAACAAATCTACTTCAACAGAGCTGCCTTGTCTGCATAGATTAAAAAAACTGCGTTGTGGGAGTAACACATCCTTATGGTATACAGGAAGCCTGAGGGATCTTTAGGCTTGTTAAAACCACAACTCCTCCCCGGGCTTTTCACATAGAACATATTCCTCAGTATGCACAGTAACAGGGGGTTACGACTAGGGATGCACCAATACCATTTTTTTCCCAGACCGAGTACAAGTAACGATACTTCTCCCTCAAGTACTCGCCGGTACCAATTATCGATATTTTTTTTTTTTTGCGTCATGTGACACTTTTTCTAAAACAATGCAGACTAATGATTTTAGGACAGTGATGGCGCACCAGGGCCCAATCACAGCTGCAACCCTGGGAGTTCTGCCACTGACTCCAAGCTGTAGAGAAACTACAAATCCCAGCAACACATTATACAGCAATGCAGAATAGCACCAACTATAGAGGACTACAAATCCCAGCAATACATTATATAGCAATGCAGAAAGGCACCGGCTGTAAAGGACTACAAATACTAGCCAATCCCATGTAACCCACAATGCACATTTATCTTCGTTTTTAAACCGGGAAGGGCTGTTAATTGCTTGTTTTTCTCTAGGGGCCGGAATAAAGAAGATATTCTCACCTGATTCTCGAACCTGCAGCAGTGAGTGCTCTGTGTCCTCATGTCTAATGCAAGCGAATGGACAGTATTAGACGTGATGGCGTCTGCGGGGCTTAGACCGCCAGAGTCTGGGGGAGAAAAAGAGGAAGCGGGGACTGTTTTAGCAGCCAGGAGGGATCAAGGATTGGGTGAGGATATTTCTTTTACTCGGGTCTCTAGAGAAAAACAAGCAGTTAACAATAAGTAAAAAATGATGCTTTAACCAACCATACATTAACACCACGGGTAAAGGAATTCTTGTATGCTGGGATGTTCAAAAGCACTCCAACTGAGGGGTGAGCAAACCAGCAGACAACACTAACGGGCCCACAACAAAAGAGCTCCCAGAGTCACTTGAAGAAACGGACGGCTGATGAGGCCAGAACAGCCACCTGTGAACAGAAGACCAGGTAATGTCTTTCCAATCTGAGAAACCAATGCCTGATGCTGAAAAGCCCATGATCTGGTGGAGTGTGCTTTGATGGGGGAAGAGTGGTACCCTGTCCTTAGGATTATAGACTTCAATGATGAGCTGCCAAACCCAAATAAGAGATAGGGGACAGCCTATGGGGGGGATCCTCAGAAATGACAGAGACTGTCTAAAAGAAAATTGTAACCATAATAAAGACTCGAACAGCGTGAACGACCTCCAGAAAGTGGAGGGAAGCCTCCTTGAGAGGTCATGGAGCAGGACAGATAGATAGAAGTTATGTCCTGGTTAACGGAAAAGGAAGAAACCAGTTTGGGACGAAGAGACCTTAAGTTTTAAAACAAGATTGTCTCTAGGTAGCACAAAAATGGTTCCTTGCAGGTTAAAGTGGACCGTTACCCATATCTTTAAAATAACAAAACGCACCTTTAGAAATGTTGAGTGATGACACTCTACAACACATACTGCTAGATAATTGTCGGCTTTGTATTCTTTATTTCAAATTTATTCCCCAGTCTTCTGACAGTGGCCATGTTTACTAAGGGCAGATTACTAGATCTCTTTACTTCCTGAAAATCTGGCACATGTGACCCTGCACATCATCTCAGGGGAGGAAAATGCCTTTCCAGGTGAGATTTCCCAGCACTACTCTGCTGATGACAAGGCAATCCCAGTGTGCATTGCTTAGGCAAACTGAAGTCATTTTGCCCTTTCAAAGCAGGAAGTGAATGCTCTGCAAGTGTAAGCATTTCATAGTCACAGCATATTACACCTGACATGTCTGTGTTTTATGTTTTTATCATCATGCATAGAGAGATGCATTGGTAGAATTTGGTTTTTGAGTGTAAAAGGTCCGCTTTAAGGCTGGCAGTTTCGAAACTTGCCTCGCAAAGGTGATGTCCACAAGGAAGGCAACCTTATGAGTTAGACAGTCAGGCAAAAAGGATGGAATTTAAGTGAGATGGTTTGCTTCTCTTACGGAAGACGTCTGTTCTCCTAGGACATATCAAAAGACTGACGTGTGGGAGAAGTTATACTATAGTTTAGTTCGCAGGCATCCAATCTGAAAGCAGTGTCATAACACACTACCAGAATGACTACACCCCATGTCCCTTAATGTAGGATTAAGAAAAGTACACCTGCAGTCTTTTCTGCCCAAACATGCCCAGTAGAACCCCATTCACTTTTTACAGGGTAGGAAGACCTGCCATCTTCCTGCCATATAGAGGTGGTGGTCTACTGAGCATGCACAGGCAGCAGTAAGTAGAGTAAAGCCTACTGAATGTAAACATTGTGGCAGAACCCCCAGAGGACCAGATATTCTGGGTCTCACAATCAATGCTCATTTTGCCACTGTTTTAGGGTATGGACACTTTTTTTTTTATTATAGCACTCATTATTTTCAATGCATTTTTTTGCCCCTAGAAATCAAATATAATCCCATTACATATAGGAGAATCAAAGAAAGAATATTTGTAATGGTAACCATGATAATGTTCTCAGACACATTGATAAATTAAGCCCCTAATGGAATAAAAAGGATAAAGGTTGCACGATTTCACTTTGCTATAGGCTTTATAAAAAGGAAATGCATAAAGAAAATCTTCTGGATGGAAAGATTTAATCCAAAAGGGAGTCTGTCAGGAGATCAGTATATGGCAGTGTCGACTGCTTTTTAACACTGCTTGCTCCAGGGCCGCCATCTATAGTCCTTGCTTCAAATAATTAATGGAACAATTAGGTTCTGGGAGACACAATCGGCCGCACATAATACGTGCATGCTGTTTTGGGGCAGCGCCTCACAAAGAGGTAAAGAAAAAAAAAAAAGAACGAACGTAGAATGACAGCCTCCAGGGCATACACAATAAAAACAGTGTGGAGAATTTATCAAAACTGGAGCAGACAAAATCTGGAGCAGCTGTGCATGGCAACCATTCAGCTTCTTTCTTCAGTTTGTTCAGATAAGTTTTGAAAATTAAAGAAGCTGATTGGTTGTCATGCACAGCTGCTCCAGTCTTGATAAATTTCCTTCAGTATCTTGCTAGTTGCCCCCACTGGCTCTCAAAGCACCTGAACAAAGCCTGCATCCAATCAGATTGTTCAGGTACTTTGAGAGCCAGCGGGTCCGACTAGCAAGATACTGAAGTTTGGCCGAGTGGGAGATTCCTCCATCCACACAGTTTAGTGTAGATGGAGGAATCTGTTGCACTTTTTCCATCTGGCCACAGAAAATCTGCAGATAATCTATAGGTGTATGGCCAGCTTTAGTCAGGGGTGGGCAACAACTGCCCGAGTTGAGCACCCCTGGGCTAAGTATTACTCAATTCATTTAGGATGGCAAGGGGAAGTTTGAGACCCTCTGTCAGATCTCAGTTGCGGTCTGCTCCCCCTTCTTTGACATTTGTCACTGGATGAAAAGGTGAAGGGAAAAAACATCACAAACTCTGGATGTTGCCATCAATGCACAAGGTGCAGAAATCTCTCCCGTGAAGACAAAGATCACAATAAAGACTCGACAGAGCTTCTCACCCTTCATCTGTCCAAAAAATAGTTCCATTATGGAAAGACAACAAATGACATTGTAACCTGCATGACCACAGTGAATAAAAATTCCCAACAATGAACATATCTCCACCCAACTCACTCAGGTTTATTTTTGCTTTTTGTTGTTTCACAATTTCTTAATCTGAATATTACTTACAAACTAAACATTTGTTTAAAACTGCGCTAATAGTCTTTGATGATTTAAAAGACTGCTGGATTTTTTTCTTCATTCAAACAAAAAAAAAAAGGACACCAGCAAACAAGACAAACCAGTCACCCTCCTGATGTGGCTCTTGTAGTAACACAATCGGGCTTGTATGCGTCAGTGCAAAAAGTAATGGCGTCCAGTAACCCACAGCAACCAATCAGCGATCACCTTTCATGTGAAATCAACTGCGAGCAACCATTAATATCAACCAGTGCACTGCTAATACTACAAAGGAAACACTGTCAATGCACACTAGAGGCAGAAAATCCACTCAACTTACACTGATCTGAGTGTCAGATCTCCCATGACCCCATCAGATCAAAAGGGGTGTTCATGGTGGCACTGGACAGGGCGGCAGCCTCCTACAAGCTCTGTGCAGTCAGCCTCCCTCTTGAGAACTGTAAATTATAATTTTGACTCAAGGGGGGGAATGCTTCAGGCTGGGAATATTTCTTCTGCAGATGCTTCAGGGTGGATATATTTGTTTTAAATGCAGTGGCTTGCAAGATGGGTATAAAGCAGTTCTGGGGTGTGCATAATTACATAGGGTTTGCATATTAAAAGGAGAGTGAATTACACTCATCTTCATAATTAGAGCTGACGTGTGACCGCTTCATTGTCACACCTCGGTTCTAATTATGGGGATGAGTGTAATTCACTGTCCCCATAATTTGCCTTTAACTGAGTGATCACATACTGCCGATCGCTCAGTTCCCGATCATCTCCCTGCAGAGCGGTGGCTGTCAGTCACCGCTCCCTGCAGGGATTACCCCCTCCCCTCTCCGTTCTTTCAGTGCTGACTGGAGGGATAGAAAGCGGAGGGGGCGGACATATCTGGCTCTAAAGATGTCAATCAAGCAGCGGGGTGGATCCTGACAATATTGTCAGGATCTTTCTGGGCTGCAGCACATAGCGGGCAATAGCCTGCTATATGCTGAGTTTTGGGTCACAGGAGGACATAGTAAATGTCGTCCTGTGAGCCTAGAGAGAACTATGGCCAAAAAAGGTTGAGCCATCGTTCTCTTTTAAGATATGGGCCTCTCCTAGGTTCAACGTGAATGACAGCAGTATTTAAGAATTGCCATTCTGAATAATCTTAGGCTTTAGAATAGGAAATTTCAGAAACCAATTCATGATCATACAATGTTGTAAAATAGGGTGACCTGGTGTACACAAGTAATGCTAGGATAAGAAACAAAAAGGCACTGGGTTAACAGGCTGCATCCCCTCTATATTTTTAAAAGGCAAAAGTTAACTTTTGAATGGAGTGTACCTTTAACCTGTCCAATATAAGTTGCTCATTTTTCATTTACCTTGGCTGCCAAGGGATACTGGATACCGCTGCCCTTTACACCAGCAAATAAGCCCAATTGAGGATTATTCACCCACACTGTTCACACACAATAAGAATGAGATTCTGCTTGGTCACTATATTCTTTGAAGAAATTACACCTTTCTGCCATGTTGGTAAACAACCCTCATTGCGCCATGTCCAACATATATATTTTACCTCAGTACAAAAATAAAAATAAAAAAAAAATAAAAACAAACATACACAGTGCATTTTACAACGGGAAAGGTGTGTTGCCTTCCAAGATTTTTCAAGATGGCTGATGTAACATCAGCCATGAAAACGAACGCACAAGCTCTGGTCAGCGTGACTCAGTCTGGTCCATTGACTGTTGTCTCTATTGAGTTACACGTATGAATGAAACACAGCCAAGCCTCAAAAAGCAGGAAATTGGGATTATAGAGGACCCGTCACATTTAAAATCATCAATCGGTTTGATGCAAGATATGACATTGTTTACATTAGATACCCCAAAGAAATATTCTAATTTGAGAAATATTACTTTCCATGTCAAGTTTGTCCCATATTTGGGGCCTATGGGTTTACATATTATTAAATCCTTCCTATGACATTCTTCTTACCTTTTGTTAGTGCAGTGAATACATTAAGGAATATCAGGCAGGGAAGGAGTGGAAGGTATGAGCAGGATGGTAATTTAGGCTCATTCATGAGTCAGGGTAATACAAAGAAAATAAAAAATTATACCTTACATCATACATTTTTTTTTTTAAGAAGGCAAAAGGTGTGCTTCTAATGTCTGATGACCCGTACAGTCGTGTGAAAAAGAAAATACACCCCCTTTGGTACATTTACCAAAATGTTTTTACGTATCAGGACATAATAAAAACGATCTGGTCTTAAAATTAGGCAAGCACAACCTCAGATGAAGAACAAGACATGACATTGGATCATCCTTTCTTTTACAAAGCAAAAATGGAGAAGCCATGTGTGAAAAGCGAAGTATACCCTTAGGCCTGGTTCACACCTAGGCGTTTTGTTTGTCCATTGCCATGTTTCATAAGCTGCCAGTCAAAACGTGCATCTTCATGTACACGCATCTTAATGTGCACAACGCACAAATAACCGCACGCTGAACACGCGCGCAAAAACGGTGCCACCTAGGTGTGAACCTGGCCTTTCTGCTTCCATAC